TCATTTAATATTGCAAAAGATTCTATTTGCTCTTGAATTCAAACTGGTATTTTTGATTACATTTCTCAATGTTTGATGTTAGAATGAATGCTTTGTTTTATCTGACTAGTCAAGGTAGGGTTTTTTTATAAAATTCACTGATGAAGAACACCTTTCCATGGTTTTGAAAATAAGTTTGAACACTTGATGCTGGTCCATCTTGCAGGGTTTTTTAGTTTTAAAATGCACAGGACAATGTTAAATATAGTATAGTAAACTAATACAAAACAAAGTCCAGTGTAGTTGTTTCAGTAGGCCACGCTACTTCTTACATTTTTATTTGATAAAGCCGTTAAAATCTAAAATTACAGCAATTTTTTTTCTTGATTCATATGTTTAAGACTGAGATCACTGCTTTGGGACAGCTCAGAGAAACAACTCTTGCCTTTGCATTGTACAGGGACAGTTTTTTGGTACTGATTACTCAGGCACCATCAGAAAGCTTGTATGGAACTAGATCTGACAATCCCAAGTTTATACAAAAGTGGAGCTTTTTATGTGGGAAAACATCTTTTGTTGAATAGGGATGGGCGTATTTTTCACTTTTTGACAACTTTGATGCTCTATGATTATGACTACAGTTTTGTTAAGAAGAATGAGTCAGAAAGGAAAAGCTTCTTAATTGATTTGTTTTGCTGCTTGCAGAACATGGGGTTATATAACATCTCACAAGAGATCGGGCATCAGGAAGAAGAGTGATGAACAATTTTCTGTCTCATATCTCAGTTTTGTTTCTGGTTGGCTGAACAATAGGCAAAGGACGTACTAAGCTTTTTTTCAGTTGTAAAATAGTGTTTAATTTTTTAAAGCTGCACTGCAGGAGAGGAGCTGCCCAGTTGGGAAGGAAACATTTACTGACAGTAAGAAACTGAAACAGCCCCTCCCGACCAAGGCTGAAACTTCATATTGGTCATCTGAAGATGAAAGGTTACTAGTTATCTCTGAGCTGTAATCCTATTACTCGGGAGCGGTGGCTCTGCTCTCCCTGCTGTCCAAGGCTGGGAATATGCAACTTCTTGGCCAAGTGCCCAGATAGTAAACCTGCCTTTTAATATTGTGCTCTCAGTCTCCTCACAAAGCCTCTGCCCCTAGATCTTCTATGTAGTTATATGATACTGTACAAAAATCCAGGATTATTAGGGAGGAGTTACTAATTCCACATACTTGCAGGTTCTGGTTTTCTGTAGAATGGTTATTCATCTTTCTCGTGCTGAGACATTTTCATATTTTTACATTTTTGTGGATTAGATGTGCATTGCCATTTTAGTGTGAGGGATTTAGGTTCAGAGAGAAATTAATTTGCGAGTTCTAATTTTAGAGATCATTTATTCTATACAAACCTGTAATCCATCCTGATCAAAGTGTGTTTTTCTGTGCATTGTCTGCTAATGAGACTGTACCATCCATTGCAGGAACCATGCTGTAACATTCTCTCACTCTGTGAGTTAAAATGTTTGCTGCAGTAACCTTAAATAATAATCCAAATAGAAGTTTCAGTGAAAGGATTGCAGTATTTATGTATAGTTGCATATAGTAGTCAATAATATCCATGTCATATTGTATTAGTCACATCTTGAGGGAATGAGTTATTCCAATTCAGTTTTCATCCATTATGTATGTATCTTTTGGAAAGATCAAATTTTGTTAATGAATCTTTCCCCTCCTTTCTTCCTTGTCTCCACATAACCATTGAAAATGCCAGTTTGGATTTCTTAGCATGGGACTGAAGCTTAAATCATCTATCACAGAAGCAGAATCGAATGTATTTTAAGCAGAGCATTTGCAATAACTTGAGTTGGTAGTTGAGAGCTTAAATACAGTAGGAAACTGCGGCTACTTAGAGCATCTGCCCTTTCAAAATATGTCCTGTGACATGAATGGCAGGTTGACTTTAAATGTTGGTGTAGCCAAATGCAAAATGAGAATATGCAAATCAAGGCTGCATCTACACAATCATTTTCACTCCTGCTCTGACCTTTGGAGAATGTTTTGTGGCAGAAGAAAGACTTGAGCCTAAGTATAGAAAAAACAAACATGCCCACACAAAGCTGTAAATGCTTTTTGTTCCTCTTAATCCAAAGAGGTTTTTTTTCCCCATAGTACACTGAGTCATAAATCTTATGCATGATCAGTAAAATCCTTTCCTACACAGTTCAAAAGAACATATTTCTTACGTGCTTCTTGCAGCAAGTCACATAGATAGGTATTTATTATTGAGTGCATTGTGGGGTGGAGATGAATATTGTCTTATTCAAGAAGAACTTTAAAGTGGATAATTTCTTTTCAGATGTAATATTTTATCAGTCCTCAGAAATACCCAGTGGAAATGTGCTGCTTCTAAAGCTTTTTCCTTTTAAAAACAGGAAAAAAAATCTGGATATAGACCTACAGAATTTTACTATCTTAAGTCAGAACAAAGGCAACCATTTGTTTTGTTTATAATTGTTGAGATGCTCATAAAGATAATCATATTGTCTCTTATAACTTCTGTTTTGTAATGAGGTGTTTTAATAGAGCTACCACAAGGAGGAAATCATAGAAACTTATTCAAAGCAGATTTTTAGTTACTTCAAGTGAAAGGATCTGGGAAAAATCAAAATACAAAGTGTTCAGTCAATAGAAAAAAGCAATGGGTGCTGTAAATGCAGCGAACTCCCGAGGGTGTAATCATGGAGGTGAACTTACCAACACCTGTCTCACTCAGAGGTGAAACGGAATCAGAAAGCAGTAACATCTGTTATTGATACCTGAGGTAGATAGTTCTATTTAAGCAAAATATTGTTACCATTCTATAGTTTGCAAGCAGATTTGTGTAAAAATGATTTTCAGATTTTTTTATTTTAAGTACCCTTCTTTAAGGTACAGTGAAGAGTGTCCATGCATGTTTCAAAAAAGTACATTTACAGTTAAAATTTGAATTCTTTAGAAAGGCGCTTTAAAGCCCATTTTTCTGCACAGGTAAAGCCAGCAAGTCTGTTTCTGTTTTGATCAGACATCTGTTTCACTTTTTGTGTTTAATTTAGAGTGCAGCTCCAGAATAGGAAGGTTGGTCTTTGATTCTTGCCATAAAGCATGAAACCAAAACAAATGATGTTTGCGTTACTAAGCAGACCTTTTCCTTTTTATTATTAGAACGCGTGTTGGAAAATTTCTCAGTAGTTTGTTTTCAAGTAATGTTACACAGATTCCTTATCTTTGTTGTTAAACGTGGGAGGGCAAATATTGAGGTTGGGAAGATTGGTTGTTTTTTGTTTTGGAAAGAATATTGAGATAAGAAGAAATGTTACAGAAAACCTTTACCTTCAATGCTGGGACTGTGCTTAAAAGTGTGTTTTGCTGTTACTGCTGTTTTACTGAATATTATTATAAATGTTTATCTTTAAATATTTTATTATCTTTTGCCACACTGAGAGAATTATTTATAGCTGTGAAAGTAATAATATTTAGACTTTGGAAATCATTCTTAATGATTCTCACTTGCTGTCTGATAGCAACTTTTTTCTGGTACTGGTATGAAGAGATTGGGTAACAAAACTCAGGTTTTGGGATTCTTGCTGTGTTCTGTCCTGGGATGATCTCAAGTGGGTTTGGACCCTGTGCATCAGCTGTACCAGCAGAGACAGGATGAACCACCTTGTGATGCTTCACATCAGGAGTCGGAATTGCCCCTGCAGGTCCTTGTCTTCTCCTGCTTTGGAGAGAGCCTGTGTCCCTCCCTCCTTGCCATTTAATTTCATTTGAATGTCAGAAACTCAGTGGAGTAAACATAGGCCTTTGCTTCATGGTCTTTACCTATAATGGGTGAAGTAGACTTCAGTCCTACACTTGTTTGATTCAGAGGCAAAAGATAAGATAACCACTGGAAATGCCCTGACAAAGTAGTGTTTTTATGATGGCTTGAGAAAAATATACCTTCTTATTTAAATTTACTGCAACTTGGAATTTAGTATTTTTTCAAACATAACTTGCAAGACAATTATTAGAGACTGTACATAATTTTGTGTTTTCGTATATGTATGCACATGTATATAGGCTGTGTGTTTAGTATTTGCTTTACCTCCCTCATGTTAAAAAAAATCTAGCCTTACCTAGTTTTGCTGCATTAGTTTTCAGCAATATTCTGTGAATAAGTGGTATTTGCAGTTACTGGTTTCTGAAGTGTTTTACTATTTCAATAAGTTACCCTAACCGATTGTCATTTCTTATGTTTTAAAAAAAAGCCAAGGAATATTTAAATGCCTAGCAGAAATGTTTGGGGGTTTCTTTCCCTTGGTTTGGTTTTCCCTTTCCTTGTTTTATTGGTTCTGTAGTTGACTGTATCACTGCAGCAATTCCAGCTTGCTCGTCTTAGGGTGAGAAGTAATAAAGTAGAGGTTGGCAGCATTTCCAGCATTCCACTTTCCATGAGTCCCCATCTGTGGGAGTCCTCCCAGACTTCTGAAGCAAAGAGAGCAAAAAGCCCAGACAAACTAATGATGGCTTGGCAGCTCTTTAACCTGGGAGCTTGCATACAGCCCCTGGCTGAAGAGGGGCAACCTGCTGGTTCCTGGTTGAGGATCAGGTTCTCTGTGTGGCTGTGGGAAGAGCGGTGCTGCCACAAGGTGGGGACTGTCAGAAGGTGGAGGCTACTTCATACTCCTTGCCAAGTGTTAACAGATGGTGTTTTGGGGAGCAGCCCGAAACTTCATTTTAGCACCAAGCTGGAGTGACCCCATTGACTGTATGATGGTTTAAAGAGTGGGACGAGAATTAAGTATTTTTACATTCTTGTCTTTCATTGTTTCTGGATTTTATCTACTCTTTAATATGCAGATGTTCTCTTTTTGTAGAGAAGGAAGCTAGAGGTAGGAAAACAGCACAGAACTGTCAGGAGAGGGTTGGTTTGTTTGTGGGGGTTTTTGCTGGTGCAGTTATCTGGTGAAATTCATGTATATATGTTTGCTGTGCCTTTTCTTTTACAGGCTCAGAACAAAGAAACAAAAGTTCTGGCTGCTGCAAAGGTGATAGATACTAAATCAGAAGAAGAACTTGAAGATTACATGGTGGAGATTGATATTTTAGCATCCTGTGATCATCCTAATATTGTCAAGCTCCTAGATGCTTTCTACTATGAAAACAATCTGTGGGTAGGTATTTTTCCTTCTCTAAGTGTTTTTACTTATTTCAAAAGGTTATTGAAATTACAGTTTTTTCTTTATTAATAGATCATTTGTCAATCACATTTTGTCTGGCTTGTCAATGTTGGGATAACTACTCGGTTTCAAAACTAATTTTTAAATTGTGAGTATGATTTAGGAAATAGTCACTAAAAAATTGTGCTACACTGAGTCATTTGGTCAGGGGTTTGAATCTAAAATGTGGAAATTAGCAGTTCATTTTGGTGTATTGAGAGAGTTCTTAATTGGTGCTTATTTGTAGCAGCAGGACTCAAATTTTAATTACATTAGTACAATTTAAAGTGAGATTCAGAATCCACACCTGAAGAATAAATAATGTGCTGAAAAGGTCAGCCTGTGAAGTATGTATTTTAGATATGAGTGAATCTGTTGGCACTTCCAGGAAGGACAATTTACCAGTACTTGAACCATAATTAATTTACTTAAACCTGAGGTATTAGACCCTTGATGTGTGGTGAGCATACATATGACTACACATCACTCCTCTGCTGTATCCTGTGTGTTCACTGGAATAGCTTTAGCTGTGACAAGACAGTTTTTTCTTCTAGGTGATCCAATGCAATATTTATAAGTGCTTTTGGAATTGTACAAAGAATGCATGTGTGGGGTTTTTTTAAAGTTTATACTTAAAAAAAGATACCTAAAACAAATAAAAGAAAATTTTCTTTGGAGTCTTATGAATAAGCTTTATCTTTTAGCCATGAAGACGATGGATGTGTAATACTGTATTTCCTCATTTACATTTACTTTGCTAAGCTTAAAACTTTGTCATCTTAATGCAGACTAAAAGGATTTTGTATAAAACAGTGGAATAGTGAAAAAAAATCCTATAAAAAAGTTCAGTATGAAAGCGAGGATGCATAGAGGCAGAATATGAAACAGTGGATAGGCTTTGCTGGCAGAATGAAGATAGAGGAGTAAATAGTTTGAAAATAAAGTTGTAGCTACATAGTTACAGTGTAATGCAAGGGTATGAAAGCAACAAAGAGAAAACTTAATGATGTGGTGAGTAAACACAATTTAGTGGAGGGGAAACCAGAGAAGAATGATAGTTGGATGTAAAATAATACACTGTTGCTTTATGGGTTTGGAAACATGACTTCTTGATCAAAGAGACCTTTGTCAGCTCAAACAGCAAATTTAGAGAAATAAATTCCTTATTTACAATTTCCCACACTTGACTTACTTGGCATGTAGAAGCATGTAAATGGAATAATGTTTAAAGGCCTTAAAAAGAGTTGCATTCTAAAATAAATTTGTTGGTGTCATTGTTGTGGGGATTAATTGCCATAGTAATTTGAAGTAATATGTGACATAAGTGGTGTATCTATAAGTGTTATGCTATAAAGTATAGTTTGAGATTTCCTCTTTTATGGGCAACAATACTCTGATTTTAAAATTACTCTAAAGAAAAAGAATAGGATATTATTTCCCAGAATATTGACTGTCTGAGAAGAAATACTCGTTATCTGTCAGGCTGAAAATTACAATTTAATGTTTAAAATTCAAATCAAAGAAAAAACACATATGGAAGAGTGGGGTATCAATCTTGAATGACCTTTCCTCTTTCTTGCTCTCCTCATTCCCTTTGTCTACCCTCTCTTTGCTTTGTGTATGTACTTTCTGTCCTTTGTGTCAGCATAGTTTGTATTCCAAAAGAGTTGCAGTTTATTTTTGTTTCAAATGCAACTCAGAACTGGAGATGGACTTGTTCTAGTATATTCTGGGATAAAAGCCTTGATGTATTGTAGGCATGAATGAAAATGAAGGAAAATTAATGTAAACATCTGAATTTAGTAATTTTCTTTAGCTTTTAAGAGTATTTTTCTGTGTTTTCATCTTGTCTGAAACAATATAGGAGATAGCATCTGCTAATGGAAAATCATTTAGCTCTTGGACTTTTCAGTCAGGGAGATTATAGTATAGAAGTAGAGCTTAATAATCAAGAAATGAGTTGGCAAGGATTATGTAAATCACATTACAAGGAGTAGGTTTAAGCTGACTGTTTCATTATGTTTTGTTATGCTATTTTATATTTGGATTAAAACTTTTGTCTGAGGATCTCCAAGTATTTTTCAAATAATTTGCTTGAGCATCACAGCCCTACTTTTAGCTGGGTAACAATACCAATATTTTGCAGGTTAGTAAAGTAATTTGTAGAGGCAAAATAGTCTGAAACTCTGATCTCTCAGTAATGCTCCCTTAATTGATGATTCAGTTCAGTGGAACTGTTTAATTTCTAATTCCTGTATTTTATTTGTTTAAATACAGATCCTGATCGAATTTTGTGCAGGAGGAGCTGTAGATGCAGTCATGTTGGGTAAATAAATTGTTTCAAATAATAAACTTAACACCTTAAAATGATAATATATATTGTAAGACTTATTTTGTTTGAGTATTGTTTTGATATGCAAATATTTCTGTAATTGATGTGCTGTATGTGTTGAACGTTGGGGTATTTACACCTATATCTATGGACATTGTAACTTCTTAAGTTAGATTTATTTTCTCTCATTTTTAAAGTGTTTGTTTACTTTCTAACAACATTTTTGTTTCAATCCTTTGAGTAAATGTGAAGAGTTGTTTTCAAATGCTTATGAAGATCTCTGTTGTTGTAACATAGTCTGTATGAGCCCTTTTCAGGACCTCATTTTTCCTCTTCCACTGCCACCTTCCAGGTTAGGTTGAGATAATTCGTAATATTGCATCTACCTTCAAGTTAGATTTTTTTTCTGTGCTTATTCCTCAAATTAGGTGAATACTAATACCATTTAAGTAAAGGATCTGGTCTTTAGCATCTCTGTGTACCACATAGAAGAATCAATCTGTAAACTATATAGCTGTTTCACAGTTCAGAGAGGTGGGTATGCATAACTGATAATGGAGAGGCCTTTGGGTTCAAGGCATGAAATTTTTTCTGAAAGGAGAGAGTATTATAAGATAGAATTTTTTTCTGACATGTGATGTTTAGAGTCTGTCAGATAAATTAATTTTCACATATATTGCTATGCTGATTGCTATGAACACATAACGTAAAATGCAGAAATGTTGTGATTATTTCTGTCTCTGTCTTGTAGAGCTTGAAAGGCCATTAACAGAGCCCCAGATCAAAGTGGTGTGCAGGCAGACACTGGAAGCACTGAACTACTTGCATGAAAATAAGATCATCCACAGAGATCTAAAGGCTGGCAATATTCTTTTCACATTAGATGGAGACATTAAACTAGGTAAGAATGTTGCATATAAAAGACTTTCCCAGAACTTGGCATGGTCTTTTAATTGTGTTTTCCTCAGGCTGCAGTTTGTCAGAGTTCATTATTTACCTACTGAAATACCAATCTAGCAATGAAGGGTTTTTCAAAAGCAAGTGGTTTGCTACTATCAAGAAAAGAAAAAGCTTGAGCAGATATCCTGATGATACTTGACACATCTTTCACACTCCAAAATCAGCAGGGGTAGGAGTCATGTCAGTATCTGCACCAAGTTGCCTACAGTCAGACCCAACTCCTACTGTTTCTTAGTATAACATTCTTACTTACAGTTGCCTTTACTATGGTAACATCAGAACTTCCCTTTGAAATCGTTTGTTTGGAAAATGAGCATTCTTTACTATCACCAAAAATCAGTACCTAGTGCTGTTGTCTCTTCCTTTGTTGGAGAGGAGTAATTATCTTAATTAGTCATCTTAGTGTTTCTGTGTCTTGGTCAATTGTTTCTTACCCTGAAATTAGGACAGAACAGTCTGGAGGAAAATTAATACAAATTTACTATTGTTGATTCCTGTTTCTTTAATCTGAATTTAAGCAGTCATCCACATTTTCACTCTGATTTGATAGGGAATCCGTGAGGATTCCTCCATATAGAACTGACAAAGGACTACTGGTGGTGAATAGCCTCCCTTCATTCAGCCAGGAAAGGAGAGGAATTATCTGGATCCACTTTGTTTCAGGGGCAAATGTGTATAAGCTGTCAGCCTTTACAGTGGCTCTACCCATGGCATAGTTCCATGACATTGCAGTTCACACTCAGGTTTCAGAACCTTCTCTCTGCATGGTGTGTGTGATTAGTTGTATTTCTGTGGAAGCACGTTACACAGAGGGTAAAGGTAAGGGGAATCAGAATATCAGCACAGTGAACTGGGGCTCTGAACTCCCAGCTTTGCTACACACAATCCTTTTAAATGTAAACAAGTAATGTCCAACTTCAGAAATATGTCTGAATATGTCGTATTGATGGCACAGTCTCAGCAAGGTTCAGTGCATCATCTCTGTTAAGAAGTTGAGAATGTTTAAGTACTTGCTTTGCTATATTGATCAGTTTAGTGTGTCTGTGCTTTTTGCATGAATCCCCTTGCTCAAGAATGTTGCTTGTACTTCTATTCCTTGCATCTGGCTTTCTTTTAATCTGCAAGTACATGTAACTATTGTTTTAGCTTTTCTACAAATCTTGAAGATTAGTGATGGACTGGGGGTCATAGGCCTTATTTTTAAATGTAATGGAACTGCCATCTGAGATTCTTAGTACTGCTGTAAAAGAAACCACAGATCATAGCAGGAGTCTCATGGTCAGAGAAAGTCATTTGTTTCTGTTCATTTCCTCACATGACCTGGCTTCTCCTCACACAGACTTAGAACTATTTTAAGGTTTTGTCAAGCCTAGCTGATACACAGCACCTTGCAGGCTGTCAAGATACTATTTAACAGTTCAGACCACAGGGAGATTTCTGCCACACTTACATTTAGTGATACATTCAGGTTTGCAAAGATTTGCTTTAGTTTTGAGAAGTGTACAGCATCATTTGAAGGAGCATTTTTACTACTTTTAAACTATTTGTATTTTGATTCTGCTATGCACAGAAATGGGTAATTCCTTGTTATACAGATACATAAATGACAAATTTCCTTCATTGCATTTTATTTGTATAAGGATTTGAGTTTTATCATTTCAGTATCTCTAGTCCCTCAAGATTTCAGATTTTGCATTTGAACCATTGCAAAAGTCCTTATTTTTTTTTGCAGAGCAGAATTAGACTTCTCAAGTGTTGAGCCCATCAAGTAATTTTGTACAGATTAAAGATGGACACATGGCTGTTTTTGTCCCTTTGCTCTAATCTCTAGATCTTCATTAACAAAATTACATCTATAATAAGCATACGACAGTTATTCAAATATCTTTTTTTTTTAAGTGAGAAATGTAGTGCTTTGTAGACAAGTAATTGCAAAGATAAAGTTGAGTTTTGGTTGGATATTACATCAAAGGTGGATATGTAAGCTTTCCGATATTTGATGTAAAGTGAAAATCATGTGAAAATAAACCTGCAAGATAAAGGAAAAATGTTCCTTCATGAGAATTTGAGTCCTGAAATTAAAAATTGAATGAGTTGTTGAATTAATGAGAGAATTAATGTCATGAATACCAACTGCATAGGCTAAAGAAACTAGTTTCTAATTAAAATAATTTGAATCAGCTATTCCTATAGTAAATACATATATTGCTCTTTCCCACACAGCCCAACAGTAGCATTACTTTCTGTTTTAGAAATGGAGTATAAGTTTTAATCAAGGTCCTGTACTAGAAATGCTCTAAAACCTTGGCACTTAGCTATTAAAGCACAATATTTTTATTTCACTTTGAAGTTTTAATACTGCACAATGTTTGCTCTGGAACATATAACATTTAAAAGACAATTGTAAAATAAAAAATATAATATGTTTTCCACCACCCCATTAATAGTATTTTGCTGTTTGCTTTAAGCGGATTTTGGAGTATCAGCTAAAAACACAAGAACAATACAAAGAAGAGACTCTTTTATTGGTACACCATATTGGTGAGTACACTGTTTTGCTGACTTTTTAGTAAAAACTAATAACTTAATATTACCTTTAATTTTATTATTACAAGCTTGGTAAATATTGTGTAAATATATTAAGTGAGGGTAGAATATGCTGCTTAAAATGCTTCAGTGACTGTGTGTATTTAGAATGTTCTCAGAACGGATCAGAATGCGTTCTCTAATCCAGTACTTCATTATTCTCTTTGCAGGATGGCTCCAGAAGTAGTAATGTGTGAGACCTCTAAAGACAGGCCTTATGATTATAAGGCTGACATTTGGTCTCTTGGCATTACTTTAATAGAAATGGCTCAAATAGAGCCACCTCATCATGAATTAAATCCCATGCGAGTGCTTCTGAAAATTGCAAAATCTGATCCTCCCACGTTAGCACAGCCTTCAAAATGGTTAGTATTTTATTTACTATGTTCCTAGTTTGTAGGTTTTGAGTACAAGGCATGCCAAGTCATCTGTTTGCTAAACTTCATATTCGTGAGCATAACCTTGTTGAACTTTGTGGTCTGGTTTTATATTGTGTGTATGTTTGTACATGTGTACACACACATATAATCTGCTCCCACAATTGGAACTATGGTCTTTTTGTCATAGTTCTGTATAGAAACTTTTATACAGAAGTACTATGCAGATTTTGCATTAAAATGTGTGTGAAATAGCTTTTTACAAATGCAGTAACAGATCTGAAGACCATCTGAAAAGAGATTGTGTAAAAGCAGACTAAAGCATTCTTATACTAAGAAAATATTTTAAAAGGCATTATCTAGTTGGTCAATTTAATATCTTTACATGATTCAGTTAGTGGTGTAGTAGATGTGATGTATTAAAAATGCAGAACAAAAGATGAACTCTTCTATTAATGGGCAAACAGTTTAAAGGTTGTATTTGTGTCATGTTGGTCTTGGCATTCCTGTACTCTTCGTTTTTCCCTGAATCAGTAGAAGAACCTGGAATTGCAGTGTAGATTTATGGGAAAGCAAAAGAATATTTCAGTATATGCTAGTCTGAATAGACAGAAGAACAACCACTACCTGTTTGCTTTTCTTGTAGGTCATCAGATTTTAAAGATTTTCTGAAGAAATGTTTGGAAAAGAATGTAGATGCAAGGTGGAGTGCAACTCAACTGTTACAGGTAGGAAGAGTAAATTGTTCAGAACTGTTGTTTAAAGGCAAGCATATTTTGTATTTTTTAAAAGCAGAGCAGTATTACAGTAACAATTTAAATTATTTCAAATCGAGTGTTCATGCACAACCTGCTTTTAAAATTGATGCATTGATCCTTATTTGATAAAATTTGGGTAATTGATACCAAGTGCAGATCAGATTATTTGTTTAACATATTTTGATGTGATATGGCTAATTACTTCGTGTAAGTAATTATGCTTTGATAGCTATAGTGGATGAAGGAGATATTTCCGTGTGCAGTCAGTTGCTGACAGGTGTTCCAAAAGCTTTAGCACTCAGCCCTCCCTGTAATGCTGTCACTGCAGAACAGCTGAACAGGAATAGACGTGACCAGGTACATTTGATTCTGTTTAACGTCAGCGCGCATTTACCTCATCCACAATCCATCTGGCATGTGTTGAGTAGATTTAAGCAGCAGGGCCAAGCAGAGAAAGGAGATTCAGACAGTAGGAGAACAGGTACCTCTTTGCTCTTAAAGAAAAAGAATAGAATTCCAGTTTGTTTTTTCTAAGGACAAAGCACGTTTTTTTCTAGAAAGAGTCATCCTAGATAAAGCTTATCAGGAAATAACTTAACTGTGGAACTGAAATGAAAGTTGTTTCCAAGAAAAATAACCTTTTTAAAAATATTTCTACTTCTATTCTTTGGATTGTGAAAAAGGTCAGTATAAATGAATTATTTATATTTTTAGCAAGTTTGTTAGACTGCTTACGCGATATGCTTGAATACAAATGTTTTGATTTTATGACTTCAGCAGAAAAAATGTATTAGGACAGTTATGATTAATGTTAATTGTGAATCTTCAAATTTAAGAGAACCACAATAACATTTCTATGAAGTTGTATATTCTTTCAACTTAGCAAGTCAACACTTAATATTGTGCTTATTTTTTTATTTTCACAAGCATCCATTTGTTACTGTTACTTCCAATAAACCAATAAGAGAATTGATTGCAGAAGCTAAGGCTGAAGTTACAGAAGAAGTTGAAGATGGTAAAGATGAAGATGAAGAAGAGGAAACAGAGAATTCTCTGGTCAGTTTAAAATTTGCTTTTTTAAATATGCAATCTCCAGCTTACCATGGAGAATTCTGTTTCTGATGTACTAGCTGACTTTTGCAGAAGTCTTCTAAAAATAACAACATAAACATACTCCAACCTTATTACAAAATAAGTAGTCAACAATTTCAAAATTAGCATGTTCTTAAACTCCTAGTAATAAATAATAACTAATAAAGACTAACATCTTCATTTTTTACATATATATGTGATATTTTAGAAGTGGGATACTGATTTTTGTGTAAATGGTTTTAAGTCAAAATGACTAGATGAATGAGTGAATGTGCATTTGTATTCCATGAAGTGTTTAGAAGACTAAGAAAGGTATTTGACTATTATGCTGTAAACTAGGTTTTACAGTGTGGCTGTCAAAGAAAAAAAAGAAAAACAAAAACCCCCATATTTTACAAAGGCAGGATTGCATTTATGGATGTATTTCTGGAGATGCTTTAAGAATCTTATAACGTGAATAGGGTTGCTCAGAGGGGAAGGCCCCAGTGTTGAGTGCTGGGGTGGCAGGTTGCAGAGTGCACAGGCCGTGTGCTTCCTGACCTGAGTGGTGCAAGTGCCTGGCACTGTCAGGAGCTGCCATTACCAGCCCTGGTGAAGGAGCCAAATGCAGGAGCAGATCCCTTCATTTCCTTTTCTCCCATCATCACACTACTCATGTCCCCTGACCTTCACACCCCACTCCCAGTCCACCCCAGCAAATCTCCAAGTGTTCATTCCCACAAGCTTCCTCCAGGACTTATTCTCTATCTCCTAAGGATCATCCACCACCTCCTTCCACTGACAAGCTGCTAAGCCATCAATCCCTAGGAGGGCTGGAGTGAGGTCCACCTGTGACTCAGTTAAATATCTCAAAAGCAGCATTTTAAGAACTGTGAGGTAGATGCGTTCACATTAGTTACTTGTGGTAACTTTAAACACTTCTTGGAGATCAACACTAAGCTTCTAGAATAATTCTGTGAAGAAATATTTGAAATGCAATTTTGACTTAAAAGGAATTGTTTTAGGTATGCCTGGGAAACCCGTAAAGTAAGAACTGCATGATCAAACCCATGCTTGCTGCAACAGCTAACCTGGGATGTTCCCAGTGGCAAATCAGGAGCCTGATCTGCAAATTACAGGGTTCTGACAGTAAATACAGACAGAGAGATATCACAATCACTTTGAAGAGTGAAAGATCAATTATGGCTAAAATGGTACTTTATTATTATATTCTTTTGTATGTCTGTATGTAATCTGATAACATTCATATTCTGACAGTAGCAGTTTCTACAGTGAGGTAACTGTTTCTGTTCTAGTTCTGTATTGCCACTTAATCAGATCTGCTAGAAGTTGTCACCATTTTAATGGAGTTTTACAGTGATTAAAAAATAGATAAAAAAATTTCAGGCATTTTTAACAAAGAACACAAAGTGAAGTAGAAGAAGGTCTTAAAATTTCATTTTATCAGTGCTGCACTAACTGAAGCTACACAGTTTTTTTTCTAGCCAAACTGGCACACAGACGTGTCTTTCAAATCCAGCTGTAGCTGGGACTATTGAGGAACTGAACTGATAAAAAAAAAAACAATGTGAAAAGAAAAAGACTCTTGAAGAGTGGCTGATGACCATAATGCCTTTCCCTCAATCATAGTGTATTTTATTCAATTCTGACATATGGAAGAGGGTTCTTATGAAACTTTCTGTTCAGGGCCTGTCTGCATTTCGTGAACTTGTTCTGTGGTAATGCCAAGTGAAGTACTCTGAGGTTATCAAATTCTTTACCTGTAAATACAATATTAATCTCTGTTCAGGTATTCTTCCATAGAACTGTGCTTTGCTTAAGTTACAAAATGTTTAAGTGTTTCTCTTCCTTTAATTTTTTAGCAGTTACCTGCAGAAAAGCGTGCATCCTCCGACCTTAGCATTGCCAGCTCTGAAGAGGATAAACTTTCACAGAATGCCTCTGTCCTGGAATCTCTCTCTGAGAAAACAGGAAGTAATACAATTGAGGACAAAACAGCTGGGGATGAATCTGAGGACATTAAATTTAGGAAAACAGCTGATAAGATATGCAATACTACCGTTAACGATGTGGAAGTGCAAAACGGTTCTGTGCCAACTGGTGAAGATGAGGAAGGCAAAATAATGCCAGCAGAAAAGGACACAGAAAGCTTGGAAAAACCACATAAGGATACAGAACCCCAGAAAGGAGGGAAAGAACTTGACGTGGTAACAAAACCAGAAATAAAGAATGAACCCAACCTAAAAATAGAGAAAGAAAATTCCACAGCAAATGAACAGACAGAAGATAATAAACTGAAAGTAGTACCCACAACTGAAAATAGTGTAGAAACTGAAGAAGGCATTTCTAAGGAAACTGGTGAAAAAGAAGAGAAGGAGAACAGAACAGATCTCTCGGGACTTAAGGAAGAAAAGGTCCCTGTAGAAAATACAGATGCAGAGCAAAAGGAAAATAAAAATGAGGAGCAGAAAGAGGCAACAATAGACACCACTACAGAAACTCTACCTAATGCTACAGTCGAAGGGTCTGATGAAGAAAAGGAACTAATAAAGCATGGAATTGACAACATTAAGGAGATAGGTGATATTGCTGAAACACCGATCAGTGATGGGGATAAAATACCTGAGCTGGAGGATAAGCCAGTGGAAAGTCAGGCTAAGCAGGTCCATGAGATAATCAGCTCTGAAGAAACTCTATCAGAAAGCCAAGATAAAGTGATCAAAGTAGACAAGAAACTGGCAGAAAGTGAAAATGAGGATATTAGTAATATAAGCAGCACAGAGGAAACAAAGATCAAAGACTCTGGAAAAGATGTCGTAGACCAGAAGGCAATACAGAGCAAGCCTGAGGATATTTCTAATAAAGTGATGGATAACCTGACTGATATGGACCAAAATTCAGGAGAGTGCAGACCTGAGAATATCCAGGAAAACAACATTCAGACAGACAAAGAACGTTTAGAAGTTACTTCTGATGAAGTAATGAAGGATAAGCTTCAAAATACTGTCAATGAACAAGGTGATGACTCTGAAGTCACTCCAGTCCCCAGTATTAGTATTAGCACTGAAGAAAATGAGAAAGTCAAAACAGATAATCAAGGCAATACTGAGACTTCCCAGCAGGTAGAGTCGGAGAATGTGAAGGAAAATGATGCCGATTCAGGCACAGGTTCTACAGCTGATAACAGCAGCATTGATTTGAACTTGTCCATTTCTAGTTTCCTTAGTAAGAACAAAGAGACAGGATCAATATCTTTACAGGTAAGTGTAAGCAATCCTATGTTTTTTAATATAAATTCTCATGTGAGGTGTGACCCTAAAATTATTTCCAAGTTTAATTTTTGCAACAAAGAAAAGTGTTGAGTGAGAAACTAGTATGGCACATAAATACAAAACTAACTTTGTAGAAACCAAAGTATTGTAAATTGCACGGTATGACAATGTCTGTATTTTGGCATTTATGCTAATTATTTTCTTAAATTATTGCATAATTGTATTTTAAAAATGTGGACTAGCATATAACAGGAATTCTAACAATATTAAATGTGAAGAATTGTGAATGGTTGTAGTTCAGAGCTGATATTCAAGAAGACAAGTTCAATACCTTACTCAACACAGAATCCCTGTTTAATGGGAAAAATCTCCTGTGACATCTAATCTTATCTTGAATTCCTGTCGCTTCCATCATCTGTCTCTCTGTTTAGATTTGGGAGATCCAAGGCAGATATTCTGTTGGGTTTGTTTATTCCAAACACTGCTGCTGTGGTTGTGCTGTGTCAATGCAGCAATGCCAGTATGAATGAGCTTATTCAGAGGAATCACATTCCAGGCTATGAACTTTATTTATATCTGTATACTAATATAATTATAGCCATATAAAGGTAGTAACTGTGTAACATGGGTTTGAATGGAAGAAAAACAAACCTAGAAAACTAACCAAACAAAAACCCCATAACTTGGCATAGCTGTGCTAAACATGATTTCAGGGTGTTTGCAGTAGCCCTGACACAGTGGAGATGCAGTTTCAGCCGGGGTGTCTCTTCTCTTATAATGAAAGAACAGCAGCTTTGAGAATTGAGATTTCTTCAGTTGTCAGCAATCTCATCACATGATTTTTGGCTGATATGTATGCATAAAAAAATTAGACTAGCTCATTTATTTCCAAAGCAGAAGTAAGTAGGTGAGTAAATTATTTTCTGGTTTGGAACTGTTTTTCAGAATTAAATGTCTTTTTTTGGTGACTGGGAAAATCATGATCGAAAGCAAACAGGAACTGTAGCTGTCTTCAGCTCGTGAAAATAAAACTGCATCAGTTTTGTTCAGAGTTTATCTAGATTAATTTTTTTCTTCTGGAAATTTGGATAATCAATAATTACAGTTTTCCTTTGCTGATGAAAGAAAGTTTCAGTTTATTAGAATTTTTTAAGTTCTCACTTGCTTAGTGAGATACCTGATAAGTGAGAAGAACTCCAGATTACTATAGAGTAGACATTTACAGAAATATTTGATCTAATTTAATAAGAAAAAGGAGGAAAAAGAATGTACAGAATAACTTAACAATGCTTTATTTAGGAAACTAGAAGACAGAAGAAAACGTTAAAGAAAACTCGGAAGTTTGTCGTTGATGGAGTAGAAGTGAGTGTAACCACATCAAAAATAGTTACTGAAAATGACTCCAAAAGCGAAGAAATGCGATTCCTACGGTAAGTGTTTGTGTAAGTAAAATTTTCAAGACGTTGGCAGCTAATTTTTTTTCTCTTTGAATAAAAAAAGGCAGCTGGTGATCTTATTCCAGAAATACTTAGGGATTAATTTACGGTATTTTTTTAGTAGAAAGGAATGTGAAGTGTTTCTTCATACGACAGTCAATTCAAAACTAGTTTTACTGGACCTAAATTGTAGATGCTCCTTTTTGTCTTTCCTCTTCTTTTGTTTTCCCATCAATATTAAGTGATTCTTTTTCCTTATTAGACGTCAAGAGCTAAGAGAACTACGACTTCTTCAGAAAGAGGAGCAGAGAGCCCAACAGCAACTCAGTAATAAGCTTTTGCAACAGCGAGAACAGATGTTCAGACGTTTTGAACAGGAAATGACAGTGAGTTTCTGGATTTTGCTGCTCTTAAAATACAACATCTTGATGGAGTAGGCAGAATACTGCTAGCAGCAATCAGGTGTTTCTTTTTATGATGGCTGTAGCTTAGCCTTCATTGTTGTTAATAAAAAGCAGTATTTTGCATCGTGGGGTGCCCAGCTTGTATGCTGGAACTTGCCTGCCGGAACAGTTCATCAGGGCCGTGCCCTGCTGCGGTACAGCACTGCACTGAACAGAACTTAGTTTCCCAAAAAAAACTGCCAAATTATTTTCACAGAGTAAGAAGCGACAGTATGATCAAGAAATAGAAAACCTAGAGAAGCAGCAGAAGCAGACGATAGAGCGCCTGGAGCAGGAGCACACGAACCGCTTACGCGATGAAGCAAAACGCATCAAAGCAGAACAGGAGAAGGAATTGTCCAAATTCCAGAACGTGCTGAAAAACAAGAAAAAAGAGGTAAGAGATGATGACAATATAGAAAATAAGGAGTATGGGCATAGTAAACAGTTGAGATTAGGTCTCCCAGAAGCCTTGTCAACTGACCTGTGGAAGTGTTACTAGCAGTCAATATTGTTTCTTGTTTTACTGCCTCAAGTGAAATACAAACAGCTAACAGGAAGATTGAGGTATTGACTTAATCGAGAAAACATCACCAAGTTAGTAGACTTTATTTTTCACAGAATATTTAATAAAATACTTTCTCTCATATTAAATCAAGAAAAAGTATTTTCTTAAAGATTGTGGAAAATGTTTGAGCTTTCTACTTTAAACAAATCCAGCTATGGGTACTTAGTAAATACTTATCAGATTAGAATTTTGAAGACAATAATACAGTCTTGATTATTACTGAGAACCACTTTAATTTCAGATATGTTTCTTTTTTGTTAGAGTAATTTGTTAGATTTTCATTGAGCGTATGTGTTATTGTTTAGAATTTCTTTATATGAAGTGAGAGCAGTAACATGGATTTGGCTTTTTAGCTCCAAAAAGAAAGCTAGGAGAGAGAAGTGTGGATAACCTAAAATCTTCTGCAGTTATCTCATACATGTCATACACTTAAGGCAAAATGAATGACAATTGACAATGACACCTTGTGCTATTAATTTGCTTGCATGAGAGTAAAAGAAGGTGATTTAGTTCCGTGTGGATTTCGCATCTTAAAAGCTGTTTTATTTCATTTTTGGATCAATTGTGTAGTGCCCATTTATATATGAATGGCTCTAGTGTTTCCTCTAATAGTTACTAGACTCGGATTTCTTTAGAAAGCTGTAGTGTCCATGCTTTTGCATAGAATGATCCTGTAGCACAAAACTGCATTAAAGAAATAAGTTGTATTCAGTTTGAACCGTATGCTCAAATGTAAATAACAATTTTTCTTCTTTTGCGGTACCTCTTGCATTTTTGAGTCTCTCTCTATTTACTGGTGATTGGGTCCTACATGGGAAAGCGGGAGAATTTTACTTATTGCTCTGAGCTAAAAACAGTTCTTTCATGGAAACAGGAGTAGCATGTGGTGATTTGGACTCTGTTTTCTTATGATGCTTCCACTATTAAACAAACAGGCATTTGTTTCTGGGTGCATAGTTTTGTGTTTAAAGCTTAAAAAGGCGATGTAGAGTTTGAAGGAAAATGCAGCTGGTGCTCTAAAACTATCCATGCTACACTGGAGTATGCAATGCTACATTTTTATAAGTCTCAAAACCAAATAAAACACATTAGCAAATTAACAGATTAATAGTCAGTTGATTTAGCCAGGTTATATTTAGAATCTTTCAGCTAATCTAGTCTAATTCACCTTGAACTGAAACACGTTCCATCCCAGCATACTGTCACAAATAGTTTCTTGAAAACGTAGTTATTGGTGGGTTTTGCTTTAAATTCTTTAGAACCAAACACTTGCAACCAAATAATACTTTGTTTGCTTGTATTATTATTTTAAAGACATAACCTGTGTAGATGTCATTTATGGTTGGAGACACTAATAATGGCATCTTGTAAATTTAAGTTATAGACAGTGTCAGAAATAGCTGGTTTTCCATGGAAGTTTTTTAAACTTCCAGCTGTTTTTCACAGTTTTACTATGAGGTAAACATACTCTGTAGTCCTTTTGCCATAGTACTTCAAGAAAATACCACTTTTGCAGGTGGTGGTTTTCTTAACTATTGACTCATCTGGCTGCTGCATGGAAACACAAGCGAGAGATTCCATTTCTGAGAGCACTGGGCAGCATTTGCATGCAAAAAGCGGCTGGCACATCCCTCCTTTCTGCACTGCTGGCATGCATAAAGCACCTACTGTTCCTTCTCTTTTCATTAAGCTCTTTTCACTAAACTAACATCCCTGCCACTGAAGTAATGCATGCTTCCCAGTACCTCTAGTGCTTGACCTGCATGTCCTGTGTTCACAGTAATGCTTGCTGTGGAGAAAAAGTGTTCTTTTTGCCACCTTCTGCATGCTTATATACACTGTAGGTTTTATGTGAAGTGGAGAAAGCACCAAAAGAGCTGAGAAAAGAGCTCATGAAACGCAAGAAAGAGGAGCTTGCACAAAGCCAGCATGCTCAGGTAACAACGGCAGCTTCAAGCTACTAAAATACAAAAGGCAGCAGTATTCACACAGCTTGATGATTTCACTTCTTGTTGTTGTTGAGTGAATATGGAACTTAACTCAAACTAACCCTACGTACTGCTCTCTTCCTTCAAGTACTCCCATATCACATCTCATAGACTAAACTGGGTAGACATGTAGGAGCAGCGGTTCCCAGGTTTGTACTGTCAAGTGGAATGTTTCGTGTGCTGTGCTGAAAAAGAATGGTAATTTTCTACAGCAGGTTTATTTACAGTGCTTTTATGAGTGGTAAGTACCCCACAGGTCCTTCAGATTTTAGAGGTTATAGTCAGAAGTAAGTTTTGAACAACACAAGTGCAGAAGAGGAAAATGTGTATATATGTAAGCATGAGGCATCTTGTTTATAGAAGCAGAACAGATTAGGTAAAATGTTATTTAAATGTCAAAGTGTAGGTGTACAGAAACTTTGCAAGACATCTACAATTTCATGCCTCCAGACTTGCTGCTTTTTTATGACCCAGCTAAAAAGAGGGCAAATATTTTAGAAAAATATTGACTTTTTGTCGGCCACAGCTTGTACAGAGTGAATTTCAACCACAGCAGAGCAGGTTTGGATTGAGTAACTTTAAGATTAAATGTTTATTTGAGTGGCCTAGTGGAAAATAATCACAACTTTATTTGATTATGTGTTTAAGAGGGGATTTCCCAGGATAGAATGTGATTGAATTGCAGTACTCTCCCTATACCAGAGATACCTGTCTAAACTTTTTAAAGAAACAAAACCTTAGTTTTTCATAGTGTTTGTAGCAACTTGGTTTATTTACTTTGCTGCTTTCTCTTTGTTGAAGAGGTGAAAGAGAAAATTTTAAATGTGAAATATCCTTACTTTGAATGATAAGTACTAGACAAGGTGCAGATGTTTAATTTTAGAATATTGTCATATCTACTTCTATGGTGAGCCTTGACATTTTAAATGCTTATTACTAACACACAACAGATATAATTTCTTCCTTTTTTTAAGAATAAAAATGTATTTCATTATATCATGACATAGGAAGTACATTGTGTCCCACAGGGCGTTGCTCAGGTTATGATTCAGTCTTTTCAGTTGTCTTCGTGCACGCTTTTCAACGCACAAATGCAGGATGTAAGTCTTAAGATGCAAAACAACAAAAGTTTTATTTTCCTCATTTTCCAGACATGTGTTTTCTCCTCTCCTTCTGATCATATGTGCTGATCAATGTTGCTGCTGTGTCCAAACTGATTAGCACAAATTTGTAATGATTCGTTGTCAAAAGGTCAAAATTACACTACTTGTTTAGTCTGGGCAAAACACTGAGATTTCACATATGCCATATGATACTGTTCTCTGGTGCTTATTATTTGTTCAGCACATGTGAGAAACATTGTGTGACTTGTATGCTGTGTGTGCAGTGAAACTATGTATTTTAAAGATATCTGAGTTTATTTTAAGATACTTATTGGGCAAAACCAAGTGGTAGCTTGAAAAAGGTGAGCTGTCTTGCTCTATCTGCCTTTGAAACAACCTACATGTTCTTTGGTAAACTCGGTGACCTTTATTTTGTGTGATACTTGAGTAGATGTGGGAAGTGGAAAGGCCAGAGTGTTTCCTGAGATTGCTTGGTTTATCTTATAGTGCTAGCAGGTATAACTTCTTAAGATTTAGAGAGAAGAGCAGTGATATTTAAATGATTGTGTAAAGCTCAAACCTAGTCACTTTTTGACCATGACTACACCAGAACAGCTTTCCCCTACTCCCTTCAAATCAAAAAACTCCCAGGAAATTAAACATTGTGTTAATTATGTATCTGCACCTTCAGAATAATAAACTTGTAGTCTTCTTATCCTTTTCATCTAGAAAGGGAAACAACAGTATTTTTCATCATTTCATATATTTGATAAGTATGTCTCACTTAATTTACAGACATCACCTTCCAGTTCTTTTTGTACCCTCAGGTCTGTCACTGGCAACTTACTTCACCTCTGGTTTTGTGTTACCTTTCTCAGTGTAAGTCTTCTGTCCACTGAGAGAGATGAAAGCCTCATCTATTAATAACTTTCCGTGAAGATGAAAACCAGGATTCTTCTGGTCATGATAAAAAGTGCTTTAAATGAACATTTAATTCCACCTGACAACTCTTATTTTTTTTCCAAACCTATGGTACTTGCTAATAAGAATAGCTCAGGAACCCTTCCACTGATCAGCTGCAGCCCAGTTTTCCCATCTCCCTTCCAAGATTAAGGCCATCTTTAGTGTTGCTTTGTTGTGTAGAGCAGCAGGTGCTTCAGCACCTCCCCTTGGCTCTGACAGGACCCTGAGTTGTCCTTTCTTTTGACCTTTGATATTGTGTGATAGAAGCATCTGATTTAATTTCTTGTTCTTACGGGGGGTGGTGGTGCATGCTCACTTGCTCATGGCTGTGGTTTTTAATAGTTGGAAGAAGAAAGGCAACAGTAAGGTTGCTTGGGGAGGGGCATGGGAGGGGGATTCCTTCTGCTGCCTGCTTTTCCTGATGGGATGCAACCTGGATAATGGGAAGATGCAGGTGATATGAGGACTGCATCAGGCAGGTGGTAAATCACTTTGCAAAGAGCCAGCTCAGCTCAGGTGTGACAGGGTGACAGTCCTGCAGAGCATGGAGTGTCTGCACAGTGGACCTACAGAACTCTCAGCCTCAGTACCTCTGCCTTCAGGACAAGATAAACCACACAAATCTGAAACCCATCTGTGTAAATAAATAGGCTTTAACTGATCACCCAAAGCAAAATAACCATACATACCTTTATTTTCTTACCTACATGAATAATTAACTCTTGATAGAATGAGATCAACTTTATACTGAGCACTTGTCTTTGCTGACTCTGAACCTGCAATGTGTTCTGAGGAGAGACAAGAGATGGAATGAATTGCAGATTGCTGACTAGTTTGTTCCCTTTGGTCTTACTTCTGAAGGTATTATTTAAATATTAAATATACTCTTACCTACTCTGTAAATAGCGAATACGAAAGATGGATAATTTGATAGTCAAGGCATGCTAGCTCAAAATTTCATAGATGCATTTGTTTTCATACATAGCTAATGCTGAGAGAACTGGGAGTTTCATTAAAATGTAATGTGGTTAGAAGAACAAAATTTAATTTACTTTTACTGGTTTTTACCAGGAGCAGGAGTTTGTGCAGAAGCAGCAACAAGAACTGGATGCATCTCTGAAGAAGATTATTCAGCAGCAGAAGACGGAACTGGCCACTATTGAACGGGATTGTCTCAACAACAAACAGCAGCTCATGAGAGGTATCCAACATCAGGCTCTCTTTAAAAACAGGCCCTTATGTTTTAATAAAACAATATTCTGTCTTCACTCTAAGAAGACCTTCATGAGTAATTTACAATGGTAACAAAAGCATTTTCTGTGGAATAGCATTGTTTTCAAAATGCACTTGTAGGTTACTTCTAAACATACACCAGCAGGTAGATTGGGAAGCAGTGTGTGGTTGTTGCACTTTCTGAACCGGCTTCCTCTCTTTTCCAGCTCGTGAAGCTGCAATCTGGGAACTGGAGGAGCGGCATCTGCAGGAGAAACACCAGCTCCTCAAACAGCAGCTCAAAGATCAGTACTTCATGCAGAGACACCAACTGCTTAAGAGGCACGAAAAAGTTAGTGTTGATTTTGACACATTCTCTTGCGTATTATAATGTCCAATTTTTTTGTCAGTAGTCTTATGATCTCTTCTGGTAGTTGTTTGTTTGCACAGACAAGACCCACACAAGTATTTTGAAGCTGTTGAAACTCAAAAATCTTAGTCGTCATACTCAAATACCTTAGTAGTATGTAGAATAGTAGTAGTAGTAGTAATATTTTTCTCTTTTGATTCTTAAAAAAAACCCAACCAATCACAACATCAACCTGTTTCTACTAAAAATACTGAATTCTGCTCGGATACCAAATCAGTTTTGACTTGTGTTTAAGTAAATCTATTCAGAAGTAAATCATCCTGGAATTAAATGAGTGGAATAAACTGGATTAGCTATTGGGCGAGTAGCTGACAACTGTCTCTTTATAGCTAAATCCTGTAAAATCCTTATTTGTTTTTTTATAGAATACTCTAAAGCAAACAGTTCAGTTTTTGAAATTGTAAACCAATAGGGAGGTGTTAGAGGACCTCCTTGGTGATCAGAACATGAACAGTCTCCACTGAAGGCTTATTCCTGTCCACTCTGGTTCGTCCCATATTGGCTGTTGTTTTCACAGCTTTTGCAGCAATCTGCCCCTTCACAGCTGCAGCCCAGGAGCTCAGTTGCACAGAAGTTTCTCCCTTTGAACAACAGACTTTTTAAAAGGCAGTTCAGGAGTTGAGCAACCACTGGTTAAATATATGTGTATTCACATTAGTTGGAGAATCTTATCAGGGCTGGGCATGATCCAGAGCGCTCTGGAAGAAGCCCCTCCTGCCCACTGGTGCTGCTGGGGCTGGGACTGGTTTCTGTTGCTGTCTCACACCGGTTGCTTACTGAGGAAATGAGATACAGATAGTATAACATTGATGGTTACTCTGTAACATTTCCACGTGGTTCCCATTGCAGGAAACGGAACAAATGCAGAGATATAATCAACGCCTTATTGAGGAGCTAAAGAACAAGCAAACTCAGGAAAGAGCCAGGCTGCCTAAAATCCAGCGAAGTGAAGCAAAGACTCGCATGGCAATGTTTAAGAAAAGTTTAAGAATCAATTCGTTAGCCTCTCCAGACCAAGATCGTGAAAAAATTAAGCAGGTAATAATTAAATTAATATTTAGTTTTAATAGTGTAAATGCCAATATGAGAATGGGATAGAGTGCACTCTCACAGGTTCACAGATGGTACCAATCTGAGCTGATGCACTGGATGAGGTCAGAGGAAATCATCCTTTCCTGCAGCACTGGTGAGACTCTTCTGGGGCACTGAGTCCAATCCTGGGCTTTCCAAAACAACACAGACAGGAATTTATTGGAGCAAGTACTGCAAAGGGCCTTGAAGCTTACCCAGGGACTCGTGGGTCTTTGTTACAGGAGGAGCCACCTGGAATACCTGGGATGCCTCAGCCTGGAGGAGAGTGGGCTCAGGAGGGTCTTATCCACGTGCATAAGTACCCAAAGAGGGTGGAGCATGACTCTTCCCAGGGTGCCCAGTGACAGTGTGAGAGGAAGCAGGCACAACTGAAATACAGAAAATCCAACTTAAACATAAGAATACACTTCTTAAGTGTGTGGATGGTCAGACAGCTTGCCCAGAGAGGTTGCAGACATGCCCAGAACCCAACTGGATACAGACCTGTGCAGCTTGTTCCTGTCAACCTTGCTTTGAGTAGGGAGGTTGATCTTTCAGGTCTCTTCCAACCTCAGCTGTTCTGTGATTCTGTGAAATATTTTTAAAGATGCTTGATTTTTGTGAATTTATGAACTAAAACTGTAGGTATTCACTCGTTCTTTAAAAGGGAATGCTGTGAAGATGTTGAGAGGTTTGCTTTCTAGAGATGCATCGAAGTCCCAAGTCATGGTTTCATATGGTGAGCACTGGAAGGATGAAAAATCTGGAAAATAAGATGTCCTGTAGCTGTATAACACCAACCTCGACCAACGCCTGCAGCAACACTGCTGTGTCACTTACCTTCAGAGGGAGATAATTGCAGGAGTCTGGTAGTGAAATGTGCTGTGCTTTAAGGAAAAATCAGAGTGCAAACAGAGAAATGTAATTAAAACTGTGAGGGCACTTCCTTTGTAAAGATTTTAAAAAAGAAAGAGTAGAGAAAATTATTGCTTAAATCTTCTGAAACCATTCTTCTCAGTATGTGTTCCTTCTGTTACATGCAGTTCTTTGGCTCATGTAAACTGTTGTATTCAGAGGCACAATATAAATAATCTTTTTATTTTCAATTTTAGTTTGCTGTTCAAGAAGAAAAGAGGCAGAAGAATGAGAGACTGGCTCAGCATCAGAAACACGAAAACCAAATGCGGGACCTTCAGTTGCAGTGTGAAGCAAACATCAGGGAACTGCATCAGTTACAGGTTAAAAATAGATGATAATAAATGACCATTCAGTGGGAAGACTCGGGTTAATAATGGATGCAGGCAAAGCAGAAACATCTTTTCCTTCATTTTTACTGATCAGTGTAGAGTTTCAACTTTGCTTTCGAAGGCCTGCAGCACACTGCTTAACCACATTCGCATGCTTCCATCAGTTAATGAGAAATCATTTTAAATGCAAGAAGAGCATGAACCAGAAACAGATGATGACTTCTGGAATATCTGTCAAGTTCCCAGGGCTGTATTCTGTAGGCAACATTTCCTGTAACCTGCTTTTACTGAAATGTCATTAATCAGAACAGAGGTAGGCAGCACCAGGCATTACCGGCAAGATGTTTGCAACAATACATGAATGAGGAGATTTTTACAAAGTGCTGCCACTTGTACATGAGCTTCTGGAAGGTACCTAGAAGGACTTCTCTTCTTGCCATAAGGAACTTTGTTCTGTCCCTTTTGGTATGCATTTAGTAAAAGTTTCTGCTGTATACCAGAGGCCAGATCTCCTTTTCCATTAAATCAGCTTTTCCCTATTTCAGGGACACGAGGAAGTTTTAAAGCATTAATGATCACCTGCTGATAACCTTTGCTTAGAGAAATCGTACAACAACCAATGAAGCTCGTTCACTCAGTTCACTTTCTTACATGCTGCAGAAACAGTCCCTGGCTGTGCCACTAATATGCCTCAGTAAATCCCCAAGTACCGTGGGAGTCTTGTGAGAGTTTCAGCTCAAGGAAAATTGAGCAGATTAGGGCTGCTCTGAGCTTCACAAGGAAAACTGGCCCCTTGCTGCACTCGGGTCCAGCCAGGTGCTTGTCATTTCTGTTGCTGTGGTTCTGTGCTCTGCATCAGAGCCATTTGGGACTGGGACTCCAGAAATACAACCATTGCCAACTGCTCTTAAAAAAAAGAAAGATTTGATGTAACCAAATACTTAATTTTTTTCTTGCTATGCTTCAGAAGTCCTCTGAAAGGGAGGACTCTGAAAGGGGGTACCTTACTGAGAGAAATGTGGAGCTGAGGTGTGGGTTGATTATCCTTTTCCTAGGCCGCTTTTGCAACCACATTTCTCCCCTCTCTAAACCCCGTTTGTTCATCTCAGCTCTTGGCACCAAGAGTTGAAATATTTCCAAAAAACAGCTTTGTCTTTAATGTAATTGATTTTAATAAATTGTACAGACTGTCTTTAGAAAGCAAAGCAGAAATGCTGCCTGACCTTGAAAAGCATTATTAGGCAGTGAAACACAGTTTTGAGTAACACTCAGCTTCTGCCTTAATGGCACTCAGCAGTGTTTGGATTTATGAGTGTTTCTTATCTCAATTGGCTCCGATGGAAAGATCAGCTTTTGAAAATGCAGCCTCGTAACATACTTTTATCTTGTAATTATTCACGTCACTATTTACACAGAATAAGCTAATTAGAAAGAATTAGGACAACATATGTCACTGTACAAATGTTGAGTTGCCTAATCTGAATTAGTTTTACATAAGGATTATCTGTATCTTCTTTTAAGAATGAAAAATGCCATCTACTGGTTGAACATGAGACTCAGAAACTAAAAGAGCTGGATGAAGAGCACAGCCAAGAACTGAAGGAATGGAGAGAGAAATTGAGACCGAGAAAAAAGGTAAATTGGAGCAGTTCTGGAATCAGGAAATAATCAAGGGCTTGATCAAGCAAATACAGAGAGTACAAAAGCATTGCAGAGGAGAATCAAGCTGCTGTACAAAGCTGTTATAATTCACTGAATAATAAAAGATGTTAAAAAATGGAAACCTGAGCAAAAGGCAGGTGCAACAAAACAGTCTATGTGTTACCAGCCTCTTGCAGGGCTCCCTCCTGCAGCGGATGTGTGCGTGTTTGCATGGAAAACTTAGCTGGAGATGCATTCCTAAACCCAGATTTCTTTCAGAAGCCAATGGGTTACTCCAAAAATTGAGTGCTTAAGAGCAGATAGAGGAGATTAGTGTGGGGGTTTATATTTTATTTTAAAATGGAAAATGCTAGATTTTCACACAGTTCAGAGAATGTCCTACAGACAGATGATGTTCTTGGCTTGCGGTGTCTTAAAATTTCATGTTTGCTGAGTGACTTTTCTTGATGATGTTTTTGAAGTTACAGCATTATATCAGACAATATATCTCCACAATAATGGGTTTCTTGTACTTTGCCTTGTTAATTCTGTGACAATCTGATTTTGGTTTTAGACGCTGGAAGAAGAATTTGCCAGAAAACTGCAGGAACAGGAAGTTTTCTTTAAAATGACTGGAGAATCTGAATGCCTTAATCCTTCAACACAAAGCCGGATTTCCAAATTCTATCCAATCCCCAGCCTTCACTCTACTGGGTCATAACTCTGGGAACTGCTGTAGGTTTTTTCCTATTTGGAATTCTCCATCCTTACCCATCTAACCTGACTTATCCGCGGCGTGTGTACATCCAAGGACCCCGCGCTTTTTGTTTTCGGTGGAGACAATCAGTGTCACATCAGTTTCTTCACTTCTCTGAGCAGAAGAAACGAACCCAGTGTTGGTGTACAATGGTAATGTTACGTCCTTCAGGTGTTTCAAGACTAAGTGGGCTTTTTATCTCGCTCTCTAAAAGTATGTTACCTATGGTTTTGACTTTAAACCTGAAGTATTAGTTGTGCTCTTTCTCATCACAGAAAAAATGGTTTCTCATGTGAATATTTAAACAATGTAATATTAGTTCTGCTACTGTGTTTTTAAGTATCAGATCTCTCCACGAGAGAATTCCACAATTGAAAATGCCATGAGAGGTTTAAAGTTTCATAATGTTGAGCAGTGTCTTCATGGCAAGAACTGAAACTAATTGCTAAGAACATGCCAGTAATCAGAGAAACAAACCCTTATGTTTAAACACAATTGGCAAAAGCGAAGGCCTTTGTAATATCTTTCAAAAGAAACCTCTGGCATAAATTAAACTGAGCTGATCTCCATGACATGTTTTGTCCATTAGTTCCATAATGAAATGGGGTGCTAGTTTAATTAATACAGTGCCTGAAACACTTAGATATGCTGATCCTGGTAACAGGATATGTTTTGTTGTTTAAAAAAACAAAACTCCTTAGCATTGTTGTTACTGTACAAAACAAGATTTCTTGCTGCTACTGCCGTTTTGGTTGTAAATCCTCACCCTAAAATATTTTGCACTAAAATATGTAAAGGTGAAAGAAATGCTAACTTTAAAATGCACAGTTTGTTATTTTCCTTTGCTATTACAGGTGGTTAGTTCTACAAATTGAAAAACTGTAGAATGTATTTTTTAGAAAGCAGGGTGCAAAATGCACGTGGTTTCTCTAACTGTACCTGGAATGGGTAGAGCCATTGTTCTGTTCTTACCAAAGCCTGTTCATTTAAACTCCATTGGAAAAGTGGAGGTGGATGGTCATATTTATAAATAATCATGGCTAAAGTCTGATTTCATTAGAAGTGTTAGATTCAAATTTTTTTTAATTTTAGTCATTTTATTTTGTGGAAAGATTTAAGTTAAATATATAGACAAACTCCTCTATGAAGCTGGGTGTTTTGCTTTTGTGTTGCCACCTACTAACATAGGCAGGTTTTATTTTTTAAGTTCATAGATGTACAATAAGTTATTTACCTGACTGATCTGCAGTGGAAAATCTGAAATGTTTCTCATGTAGCGGGTAGGGAAATACAGCTGTATTAGATCAATTTTTGCTGCACTCCTTTTGGTGGTTAGAGGTTGAGTCATATCAAGACACAGTATTTAAGGCTGTACTTGGGTATGCTGGAGTTCCATTTGTAAAATAGTGTTTGCTTTCTGTTGTTTGAGGCCTGACTTCCTCATATCTCTTCGGGCATCAACTGCAACCGTTTTGTTTTGCTCTCTCGCATTGAACGTGTGGCTGGTGACCATTACACGACTTCATTTCATGGGAACTGTGTTGCTGCATGTCAATGAGCTCATAAATTAACATAGGACTTTATAATCAGCTGTGGTCGAAACCTTGGATGCTGAAATCCTTGGACGTTGAACCGAAACCTTCTCAATGAAGACACTTAATTTACAGCACAGAAAAAAAATTAATTGGAAAATGCATGTTTTAATTTAAATTTTGTAACTTTTTGATAGCGTAATTACTTTAATAGCTAGCCTTAATTTCTGGCATTTTATTATTATAAATGTGTATTGTGCACTGTTGTAAATTCACACACCATATCTCTAGAATGTTCTCTGTTGCTAAATGCAAAGTTCTTTGAATTGTTTGTTCATTAGGGAGAAAAAACGTCTTTGAGAACTTTTGTTTTTTAAGCTCCACCTTCATAAATTGACTGTTACTGAGATAACATTAAATAACCTTCATTTCTATTTAGCAGAATTTGTTTGCAGTTCAGTATGACGTAGGCTCAGTGCTTTACTCAGGGAGTAGGCAGGGCAGGCAGATTTTCCTCAGAGGGAAATCACAGAATCACAGAATGTTAAGGGGTTGGAATGGACCTTAAAGATCATCTAGTCCCAACCCCCCACCTCCACTAGACCAGGTTGCTCAAGGCCACCCTGGCCTTGAACACTTCCAGGGTTGGGGCATCCACAGCCTCCCTGGGCAACCTGTTCCAGGGCCTCATCACCCTCACAGTACAAAATTTCTTCCTAATATCTATCCTAAATTCTCCCTCTTGCAATTTGTACCCCGTGCTCCTTGTCCTATCACTACACTACGTTAATAATCTTCTCCTTACATTCTTGGTAGTTTCAGTGATAACTTGCTAATGTATATTGGCATTTTGTTTACCTCTGTCTAAATCTCTTACATCTTTTATTTGAAGATCCTTTTTACATAGGCCCCTGCAATCTGATCTCACTGTAAATTGCACAAATAAGTGTAACTGAGCTGTGTGATGAAGGGAGAGATCAGATGTGGTGATGGAAACCTTGCTCATCTCTTCAAGTGGGGAGCACTGTGAAGCAGTTGCAGCCTTGTGAACTGTGCTGAGAATTGATATCAAGCATGAAAATATATTTTATGTGTGATAACAGGAACTAGCATGGGTACTTAGACACTTAGACTGATAAAATTGGATATAAGTGTTGCAGAACATGAAAGAGGTGTTACAATATTGTATCAGTGTTGGAAAATTCAATTCAAATTAATTTAGTCTCATATAGGCTCAAAAGAGATCTCCTGAGATACAAAATCCAATCTCTGTGCTGTCTCATGTCACCTCCCTTTAATGAATGTTAGCAGCTCCATCTCCAGGGTAGTTAGATGTGTTTTCCACAGCCAGAACAATGTGCTTTCTTACTGAGTGTTTGGCAGATCTTATTGTCCCCACATGCTCTTGCAAAGCTGGCCACAAATCAGTATTTTCTCACCTTTTGTGTTTTCCTACATCATAAACACTGTGCACAGGAAAACGAGCAAGGCAATAAGTGCCTGGATTGCAGTCAGTGTATGGGTTGTCCTCCTGTGTTTACAGCTGATCCTCACAGAAAACCTGCCTGCAGGCCCCTGGCCTCTGATGGGGTCAGACTTCACATGTGCTTCCTGAGCTCTGAAAGCAGATTTGGGCATCTGCTAAGTCAGCTTTTATGGGAAAGGGCCTCGTAAGGACGAGCCCCTGGCTCTGCTCACGTCCGGAGTTCCTGAACTCAGCTGTGTGCAGGCTCTCCAGTCCTCGACTAACGCAGTGCTGCCGGTACCCAGGGAGCTCTCTGGGGGCTCCTGTGCCCCTGATTTTAGGAGACTCTACATCTCTCCTGAGTGGGGCTGGCTGAGGAGAGGTTACAGTCCTGGGGGGAATGGTCTGGCTCAGGCCTTGGCCTCCCAGTGTCCCGGGGGAACTTTGCTGTTTACTTCAGTGAGGGAGAAATACTCCAACATTTGATCCTCTCTGATTCCCATAAAACAAATTTTCCTTCTCCAAGCGCTCTGCTGTCTCTGCTGAATGCACAAGAAGTGTGTATGGTATGTAAAGATATGATATTGAGGTTGTTATTCTTATGATTGAGTAGATGGATCCTGATTTATAAATGCCTTCTGAAGGAAAACCTTTATTTGAATTGACACCTGAATTCCAATTCCAAGGTGGCAGGGCTGCTGTCCTGACTGCTGGCATTCACTCACAGTGATTTTTCACATCTGTTAAAATACTGTTAAATTCCAGTTGAGCTGCATCCTTTTTTCCAGATAATCTTTTCACCTAATACCCTTTTAAAATTACATTCATGGGTGTTCAATATCTAATCAATCACACAGTTTAAAAAATTATTCTTCTGTCCCAGAGGACTTTATGACAACTCCATGCTACTGAATTATTTTTCTTAATAAATAAGAAATGTAGCACCTTAACTAAGATGCAGCCAAGCAAAGCAGCAAAGAAATTTCTTTCATCACGCCATGTCTTTTGTGACAGCAAAATCACACTGGAAGTTTAAGTTGGTTCTCCAGCTGAAACAGTATGTGTCTTGCAAGAATTTCAAGGATGCTTTGGTATAGGAAAGACTTGAATAGGGTGTTTTAAATTCAGGCACTTAAGTCCACTTTTAGGCAGCCTGATTTTCAGAGCTGCTGTGCAGCTGCAGCTCCCAGGACCTCAAACACTGATCTTGCTGGAAACTGAAATGTGCAAATAAGCTCAGTGCTGGCTGCTTCCACTGAACTCCTGTTTCTTGGTTCAGCTGGGGAAGTGGGGCAAGTTTTTCAGGACAGTGACTCTGGTTGTTGGAGGAAGGGGAGAGAGGAGTGTTTAGGACAGTCACTGTGTACATAAGTTCTCTGCCTTCTATGTTAACATTTATATTCTTGTCATTTTGTGTCAAAACCTGTACTTCTTGATCTCAGAAACTTCCTTGCATTGATGTGTCTGTGCACATTTCCCATTTTCAGACTACTTCTGCCATCTTCACAGCAGTTGAAATAAGGTCAGAGAGAAATAACCTTCCTTGTTCCCAGGCAAGCCAAGGCCAGGATGCCCTGTTGTTTCTCAGTCTTACAAAAGATGAGAACAGATAAAGGGGAGAAGACAAAAGAAAACTCTACAGTGCTTCTCTTTTACAGAACTTTTAGTTGTTTTTCTGCCCCCTTTCTCCCACCTCAGTTCTTGTGCTTCATTTCTGTAGCTCCTTTGCACATCTGGCATTGGGGCAGTCAGTGGTGCCAGAGAAGAACAACCCCTTGAATACAAACATGCTCTGACTCAACTCATCACTAAAGGCTCATGTGCTTCCATTGTACCAAAAGCAAAAGGGAGTGGCTGAGCCCAAAGTTACTGTGATTTTCCAAAATCTCTTCCCCAATTACCAAACTAAGTGGTAAGGCCTCTGTTACAGTATCAGTCCTAAAATGGTGGAAAGAACAGAAACTAGAAAGGGACATGGAGTCAAATCTAACACTGAGCTGTCACCCACATGTTCTGTCAGCAGAGCAGGAGTCCTGTCACAGTCCTGTGACAAAGCACATCCACTGAGGCACCGCCGGCCTCGTGTTCTCCCAGCAGTTCATTGCATGTTTTGTGTTAACTGCAAAACAGGTTACTTTTGCCTTACAGAAAGCAACCAAAAATCATGAGATGGATGAATAATTGGCTAAGGGTTTCTGTACAGCTCATGGAAGTGAACTTGCAGTAGCAGCCATACAATGATTTTGGTTTGGTTTTTTTTTTGGTCTTGTTTTTAAAAGTAATTGATTTCATGGCTTTCTGTAGAATATTGTAATAATTCTGCTGTAAATACAATAAAAAAATCACAGTTTGCTGAGATTGTCTCGGTTTTGTTGATGGAAAACTTGCATGAAATACAAGTGATGTTGGAGTGAAGGGGACAATTTAGAATTTTTAAAGTAACTGAGCGTAAAAAGTATTTAACATTGTGCCATTGTATTTTACCACTGTACCTCAGACCCCTCTCAGGTGCCTCACCCTGCCCCACAACACAACTTGCAAGCACAGAAAGGTGGTCCTGAGTAGTTCAGGGATTGGCTTAAAAACACACTTTAATTGGGCTGTTTACATTAAAATTATGTTTCCCCAGTGTTTAGAAAACCAGAAAAAAATAAAAAAATATTTTTAAAAAGATAAACAAATTACTTTTAAAAGTGCTTCTGTTTGGTCCCTGCACATGTCCTGTCTTGCTGTGCTGCTGCCTCCCACTTAGAGCCAGCAGGGTTTGTGGAGAGGGAATCCCAGTGCGGTGCAAGCTCAGTCCCACAGTATCTTGCAGGGTCTTGTATCCTGTGGGCTGATCCTGCATCTGATCCCTGACAAAGCACAGCATTTGGTGGAGGTGGAATTGCTTTCTTTTCTTTTTTTTTTGCTGGATAGTTGGCTACTTGTTATAAAAACCCCAGGTTTTTACATAGCTGGTAGCAATACAAGAAGCCTGGACTAGGTGAGACAGGAAGCCCTTGTCAGCCTGGGAGCTCAGGGTCAGGCAGGCAAACATCAGTAACAGGAGCAAACACCCACACTGGGGCCATGCTGGACACGTACAGGAGACATTCAGATCTCTGCAGCAACACTGAACTATCAAGTCTAAGGGGTCAGCTGAGTGGCAAAGGACTGTTTAGCATTAAGGCTAATTCTCTACAGGCTGCTGGGATTGCTGCCCTGTGCAGAACTGAGCTGCCTCTTTCCTTAAACCCCAACATTTCTTCTTTTTCTTCTGCCAACATACACTTGTTCACCTAGAGAGAATAAAGTAAAAAGGAGTTATTTGAAAAATTCATGTAGGAAGACAAAAGATCCAAGAGTGTTTTCCAGCCATTCCCAGTGATGGGCTGGTGCCTGGGGAATCCTTCACTCCCTGACAGGCAAACCCTGCTCTCCTGGGGATGGCAGGTGTTCATACCTTTCTCTCCCTTCTCTCCTTTCGGTCCCCTGTGCCCTTGTCGTCCTGGTGGGCCCATTGGTCCAGGGTCACCTAAAGGGATGAGAAAACCAAGTTTTCCCTTGAGCACAAGTGGCTCATGGACAGGGACAGACCAAGGTAAGGGAGGCCAAGGCAGGACAACATTTTGGCTGAGATCCTGAAGGTGCCACCTTCACTGTAGGAAGGTGTGACCTTGAGCAGTGCTGTGGTCACAGTGCTGCTTCCTGGGCCTCACAGGGCTAAAGAGGGAAAGGATGGCAAGCCTTACCTTTGGGTCCAGGATAACCCCTCTCTCCCTTTTCACCAGGTGGCCCCTGGATGGCACCATAAGCTGCAGAGGGAAATGAAGGAGAGGATGAATGAGAGGGACAAACCACTGTGCTTAGTCAGAGAAGCAGTGGGTCACCCTGGAAGGTCATTTCTCTCAGTTAGATGGGATGAGACTGACAGAGAAAGTTTTTCACAAATGGTTTTGGTCCCAGCAAAGATCCAGGGATAGGCTGTGAGGGCATTTCACCAGCCCTGCTCTGCCACCTTCTCTGGGTGTCCTGGCTGTCACCAGGGCTGGAGCTGGCCTGTGCTCAGGGCAAGGAATCTGAGAGCAGAGCGAGCAGTTGACTCATGTATTTGTACATGTGCCAGCCCAGCCATGTTAAAATGGGC